CTTAAATTAAATTGTTAACATTGGATGCAATTTAAGTGATCCAAATATGTGTCACATTTGATTATTGTATGAAAGAAAAGCTTTCTACGCATTCATCCATAAATTAATTAGCTTTTGGGATAAATCTGAAAAGACTTATCCCAAAAGCTTTCTCTCATATCTTTCATTCTCATTTTATTTTGTCATAATAAAATCATTTATGGAATAAGTGATTTTTTTATACTCATTTTCATTCTTTGTTTACTTTTTTGTTTTCCTTCCCTGAATGGAATTGCATAAATTTGGCAATTATTAGCAAAGAAAAATCAACGATCAACCATTAACGATTTTTTTGTTTGTTTATTTATTTTTATTTTTTGCTCATATCCGACTAAGAATATTTCAAAAAAAAAAAGAAAAAATTATTTCACTGATATATCTTCTTCCATGAAATTTAGTTAACAAAATTCCGCTTAATTCTTGAACATGAAAAAAAAATTTTGTTTTGCTTAAGAAATTTTAGAAAAATAATTTAGCATATCATTTAAAAACTCCTCATTTTTTAATGGAAAAGATAGAACAAAAACTTTGAAAGCAGTTTTTTTTATTTTCCTTTATATAATATATATACTTCCTTCAAAATAAAAAGTAAGAAAGTCTTTTTCTCTCTCTTTTTTTTTTTAAAAAAAAAGAACTGTTTATATTAACTCTGCCATGCTCTGAAAGAAGAAGCAATTTCTCACTTGTATTTCAGCTTACTTAAGTATTAAAAAAAGATTTGTAAAATTGTCAGCAAAAATTTTTCGTCCCATATTCAATTCATTTATAATTGATGTAATAAAACCTCCTTCCTAGTATAATTGCTACTTTTTTTAAAATTGATTGAACTGTTTTAATTACGTATACGTTGATTTTATCTGCCATTAGGAACAGTTTTTGCAAAATATCGAATTATTACGGATTAATTTTATTTGGCACTTATATCTTCTGATTTTAAAAAGAAAAAATGAAAAAAGAGCGCAAAAGTTTTAAGTTACAAAAAAAAAAAAACATATGGAATCAACTACGAAATATAGTGACAAATATTCGATGATATGATGACAAAATTTAGTGACATTACTATTACCTGTGAGTTTGGTGACATTCCATTGTTAGTGCTGATAATTGAATATGTTATTTGCTTTACTGTGAAAGAATATTCCTTTTTATACAGTGGCAAATACCACACTTTTTGAGACATCGCACTTTCTGAGATGCGCCTTGTTTAAAAGCAACTTTAAATGTTTTTCACTTTTTTCTTTCATTTAAATTTGAACCCAAGAAGTTTATAACAAAAATCAGTTATTTATTTCTTTACCGCTTGTTTATTTACATAAATTATTTACTATTTTTAATTACATGTTATTATTAAGTGTGAGATGACAGAAACGAAGAAAAAAGCAATAATGGATCATTTGTTGTCTATTGGATTAAGTTGACAATTCATAGTGATTATAAATTTTTTAATGCATCATGAATTACAGTATTGATTTTAATTACTAATGAGCTTTCATATTTATTATTTGTTGATGCTTTATAGGTAGCATTACTCTAATTGTTATAACTATATTGGTAGATAATTTGAATCTCATTATTAAACAAATTTCTTGCTCGATAATAAAGGTTATGTTGTCTGATATTAGAAACTATATGAGCTACGGTAGATACTGTATTGGAGGACAGTAAACGGTGCATTAGGATACTGTATTAGAGAAGTGTAGCATACTGTAGCATGTGAGTATTTAATTATACATTCCTATTTCAGAATAAGAAAATGTAAAGAAGTTAAGTGCAGGAAATATCGGAAAATTTTTTGTCCTTATTAAAACATTAAAACATATAATTTAATTTGAAGAAAATAAGAAAAAAGAAAATAATTATTAAGAAAGAGAATTCATGTAGTTTTCCTTTTCTTCGTCCTTTTTTTTTTTTTTTTTTTTTGGTTTCTCCTATAGCAGAAAAAATTAAAACTTTATCAGAGGTAAATAATTACATTAGTCATTTGTTTTAATTTTATTCTTTAACTTAGTTTCCTCTCACATAGTTTTATAAAATTTTAATTTTTCTCTTTCTTCTCTCTTTCCATTGCTTACTTGTTATTTAATTATTCTTTATTCAAATAGAACTTTAGCTTGTTGTAATCAACTTATCTTTTGCTGCCTTGTTAAAGTAATCTCAAAGAATGGATGAAATAAGAAGTTATGATTAAATGACAATAAAATTTTTCATAAGTAAGCCATTCATTTGTTTACTTCAACCCATTGGCCATTCATAATCGACCGTCGTTTTAACCACCTCAATTAATACTTCAACTTAGTTAAAGTATCTTAAATGACTGATTTACTAATATTCATTTTATTAATTTATCATTCATGCTCTCTGTCTTCCTTAGCTTACGAATATATTTAATATTCTTTGTATTTTATATGATGAATTAATTAGCTAATTAATTATCTCTATTATTATTATTATTATTATTATTATTATTATTGCCTCTGTTATTGGAATAATCTTTGTCAAAATCTTGGTAAATTTTAAAAGTATGATTTTTACACAAATATAATAAAAAATAAAAGGAAGTCCCAATTTATCGAAAATTTATTTATTGCTGGAAATATGGCACATATCGGTTACCGATTAGTTTTCATATAATCCAAATTTTTGGCTTAAATTTCGATTAAATTTCTCAAATATATTCTGTTACATGGTAATGGTATGTTATAGAAATATCTCACCAAAATTACTAATTACCGTAGTTTTTTCCTGATTTTTTGTTTTTTTAGCTTCGTTGGGCATTTTTGATCCTTTTTAAGTTTATGACTTCCTTATATATTTATGTATGTAAACAAATAACGATAAAATTATTCAAGCAAAATAAGCTTTTTTTGACTTTTGCAAGATGATTATTGTTGGTCAATATATGATTTTCTTGCATTTTTTTTAAAGTATTAAATGAATCTGTTAAGTAGTTATCAAAATTATTTCAATGTAAGTCAAAAATTAATTAATTTTAATCGCTTATGAAGTTTATAGCAGAAAAAAGAGTATTTGTCGTGATGGTGATGTTTAACTATGATAAAAAATTTAATTTGCTTATGTTAATCATTCCAGGATTTTGGCATATTTGCCATTTGCACTTCTGAAATATCAATAAATGAGAATTAGTCATTTCTGAAAATGATTGCTTCTTGTTTATAGATATTTCGGAACAACTTAACTGCAATATCGAGTCGATAATCATTTCCGGTATCAAATAATCAGTCATTTTTTAATTATCGCACTATTTTGGAATTATATTTGCAACGATTCATCAATTCTTAATTTTCAGTTAACTAGAGATAATTATTTTGTAAATGAAATTTTAGAAATTAAACGAAAATAATTTATTTGATAAATGAAATTACAAAAATTAAGCTAAGATGGCTTAAATCGTAAATAAAATTTTCAATTGTTTCGCATTCTTTGGTTTAATTAGTTGAGACAAATAAGATAATTCATAAATAAAAATAAGTGAAAAATAAAATAATAGCATTTATAGTATACCTATAATTTTTACACTCAATGCAAAAGTTATCAAAAAATCTTGAAAGTTTTGTGAGTGTTTAAAGTTTAAAGTCATTTCAAAATAAGTTATAATTTAGTATGTCATTAAGTAAATAAATTTCTTTTGAACATTTTTCTGTAACATACGTTACTTTAAGCAACATAAGCAAATTTCTTTTTACTTTATTTTACTTAAACATAATATGTTTCACACCTTTTTTTATTTTATATGGTATGGGAATAAATTACTGGAGGAAAGGTATTAATTGGAATTAGAAAACAATCCCAGTAAATTTTGCAATTTTCAAATCTTTTTGCATCATTTAAGTGTCAGATTTCATAGAATTAGCAAAGACAGATGAATAAATTGTAATTTTAATACTAAAATATATTTTCGGAAAGCAAAAAAAAATGGTAGAAAATGAAAATGTTTTAAATCACTAATTTATTGAGAAATAATAATTAAATGATGAACATTAAATGTTCTATTTGAAATTGTTTTAATATATTTTGTAATATAAGATTATGCTTCAAATATATTTTTATACATTTCATCTTTATACTCTGTGATAATTCTTTTGAACTTAAAGTGATAAGCATTAACATTTCATATGAAATTATTTTTAATGGATAACTTTTATGCTGCAATGATATTATGCTACATCTTTTAGTCACTTGTCATTGATTCTGATACCCTTTCCATCTTATCATTGATTCTGATACCCTTTCCATCTTATCATTGATTCTGATACCCTTTCCATCTTATCATTGATTCTGACACTCTTGTCCATCTTATCATTGATTCTGATACCCTTTCCATCTTATCATTGATTCTGATACCCTTTCATTTTATCATTGATTCTGACACTCTTGTCCATCTTATCATTGATTCTGACACTCTTGTCCATCTTATCATTGATTCCAATGTTTTAGATTAATTTAACATAAATTCCTATGCCTCAATCTAATTTAACACTTCTATCGTAAATTCTAATTTTCCGTTTAATTTCGATTTTTTCCATTTCAATCATTTTTAGTCAAATTTCAAAAAAAAAAAAAAAAAAAAGAATCTTAGTTGTAGGAAGCAGAAATTAAAATTGATCCAAAACATCCAATTTGTATGTAAGGTTGTTTTCGATGAAGAAGCAATGAAGCGCGTAAATAAGCGAATTTCTTTTCAATTATTCAAATCACAGAATGCTTTTAGTAGGAATGTAAATTGTGTAAGTGCAATAACATAAAGGTGCGAAGGTTCTCGATGGAGCTTTTGATTCATATTGAAATGCATTTTACCGGAAGGATTCTAAAATATTCTGCCAACAACAAATCAAAATGACAATGATATTATTACTACCCTAAAAGTATTCATATTGCTACTACTACTACTACTACAATTATTATTGTTATCACTGTTATCATTATTATCATTCTGGCAATAAATGAGTCAATTCATTAAAATTACCGATCAATACACCTATTTGTTCAGTCTTTGTATATGCAATAAGGTTTTATTATACGAATCATTTTAAAAGTTTCATCAAGTTTTGCTTTTTACATGTATTCTTTTTTAAATAAATTTTCTATTTCTTATAGCTCACAGTCCATAATTTATGGTTTCCTAACAGTTAGAAGAATTCAGCAATTATTAACTTACTCATACGATAAACAAACAATAATTATTAGTTAGGTTTTGTCATACAACTGTTGCAGGTACTGATTTATTGCTTAGGCATTGGTCAACTTATTGTTGCTGCGTTTTCGCTTGCCCAACATTTTGTTTCTGTCATACAATTTGGTAAGGTAGGTTTTAATATATTTAAATTGGTAAATTTTTGTTTTTCATTGAACAACTTCGAAATTACAAAAAAAAAAAAAGTTATTTTAAACTTATTTTAACGAAAGTTTTTGACTTTGATTAAATCGATAAGATATAAAATACGGTGGAGTATGTATCATGAAATTAGAAGGTAGAAGTGCAAACATTTTGAATAAATCTAGCTAGACAGGTGTACAGATGAGTTAAGCCTAATTAGTCTAATAGGTGAGCAAGCATAAAGACAGGTAAAATTGAAAATTGCTTTATACTATCGGTAATAATTTGCAAAGCGATGAAATTCTGAACAAAATGAAAAAGCAATTTATTTCAGAAACATAGCAAATAACAAATTTTATAGTTTATTATTATACATTTCTTTTTAATTTGCATGGAAAAAATTTGTTTTTCGATTTTCTCACTTATCAAAATATACTTACTTCGTTATCATATCAAACAGACAAATTATCAGTCATTCATTTCATTCGATTTTATCGTTTGGTAGTTATTACTGCCACTTTATTGATAATATTTACTTATTGATAAGGACTGAATTTATTGTTACTATGAAATTTCTTTAAGATATTCAAATGCTCATTTAATGGATCCACAAATGGCAGCAATGATGCAGGCAAGAAATTCCTCAGTCATGATATGATTATCTTCGATTTCGGTTTATTCCATGAGCTTATTAAAGTATGATATTGATAGTACTTCCATAAGTAAAAAAAAATACCTAAAAATTGAATCCTTCGATAATTCTTGTATGATGAATTTATCGATTGATTTACAATTCATTGTACGATAGATAGATTGATTGATTGACTGATTGATTGATTGATTAATTGATTGAATGATTGGTTGATTAACTTAGTTCATTTTTTTTGTTTAGTATAGTTAACAATTAATGGAGAACTGTTAGTAAAATCTCATTCAATAATGTAATATCAAATATATGAATCAATAAAAGAAAAAAAGAAATAAGAAAATTGAAATTTAACTTAGCTTATATTTATATAATTAATTGTAAGATTTTTCTTCAATAGAAAAGAATCGGTGCATACTTCGTTTTGATATAATATTTAAAATTCAGTAGCACAGATTTATTCTTTTGCTTTTTTAATTAAAAATGATGGCTTTGAAAAAAAAAAGTAATACGTAGAAAAGAGTGTTTTTTTAGATTAAAGATCAAAACTGAAGCTAAATTCAAACTGAAATATAATAAATAAAAAATAATTGAGGTAAAGTGAAATCAAAAAATATTTTTCATTTCTTTGAATTTCTTTTTCTTTTGAAACAATAAGAAATTGAATGTTTGTGTTAAAATAAACATTTGAAAAAAGTCTTTAAAATTAAGTTCAATTCTGTCATACAATCACTTAGTTCTATGTTTCAAAATAAATGAAAAAAAAGTTGGAATAATAATTCGTCTTTTTCAGGTAAGCAATTTTACAATAAATTTTTTTATTCGAAAATTTAATCGTTGTCATTAACTTAATTTTGTCAACGTGAATAATTTTTCCTTTTTTTCTTTTTAAATGAACCCATTTAATAAGAAATATTGTTTAAAAAAAAAGATTTATACTAATATTTACCTTTTTACAGGGCTGATTTTCTTTTTTTTTGGTAGCATTTATTTAAATAATTAAATAAAAATCCAATGACAATACTTTACTAATTAAAAATTTCGATATTTTTTTGGTTTTAAATTGGGTTAAATATTAAAGATATGTAGGACATTGTTTGCTTTTTTTTTAAATAGGGAAGGAAGAGAATGACACATTTGAAGAACACTAATTAGTTTAATTACTATTTAGAAATCTTAAAATTTAAAAGAGAAAACTATGAGTATAACTTGTGCAGCAACTAATTATAATATAATTCGTACCATAACTGATCACAGAACTACCTGTAATGCACTACCTGTGATTACAGTATCAATTTTGTAATTATAAAATAAGCATGCAATCTTCTCTCTATTTAATAAATAGATGAAATTTTAAGGTTGAAGAATGTGTAGCAAATTATTTGGACGGTGGATATATGCGCTGCTTATGGTGTATTGGACAAATGGTGGCGCTAAGTGCAGCATTGTTCAGTATGTTGTTTATACCTAAAGCGCATCCCATTTACCTTTGGCCACTTCTTATCGTCCAAAATGCTTATTGCTTCGGTTTGGTAATTTATTTTAAAAATAACAAATTTTCTTTCATTTTATTTGTTTTGCTTTTTGTTTATCACTGAATTACTGAAATATTTATTATTAAAATGCTACGAAAGGATGAAATAAATAACATTAATTCTATCTTACATTCGTTGCATAAAGATAAATTTAATTCATCTGTCTTCTTGTGTGTCATATTTGTCTAAGTTGACCGTTGGTCAATTACATTTGGAAGAAGACGAAGAGAAAAATAATTAATGAATGTTATAAAGAATTACTGTGAACTCTAATTTATAATTATTTATTCATACATAATCAGTAATTCAAAACTCATCAAATATCTTTAATTTGATACATTCATACCAAATACAGCAAATATTTGATAAAATTAAGCAATGATGCTTGAAGCTTTTACACTAATTTCTTTTTTTTAAAAAAATACATTTTCTCTCGGAGAAAATGTATACCAGTAGACGATGAAGATCAAAGATCAAAACATGTTCTCTTTTTTTTTTTTCTTTTTTTAAATTTGCATTAGATAAGCAGGTATTGCAAAATGATTAAATTGCAAATAACAAATATTTCCGTTCTTTTTTTCTTTCTTTCTCTTCCCTTTTCTCTTTCTCTCCCTCTCCCTTTTTACCTTCTTATCATTGCTTTGTTTCCAATCATTATCAGTGTACATATTAAAAGTAATAATAAAAGATAAATTCTATGTACGAAAATTTAATTAAATTAATTAGTTTTTTTTACCTGTGTTTCAGGTAATTTTAACAATAGCAACATCAGATAAACTTTTAACAAGCCTTTTGCATCCTGCTAATGGTCATTTGATATTACTTATTGTTATCTTTTTCATTGGTACTTCAGCGAATTACTTATTCGATTATATTTTATGGCATTATTATTGGTATCAGGAAACGGAATATATTAAACGGACAGGTTCACCTGTGGTACCTTTTTGGGTGTAAATTATAATTAAAAAATGTTGTTTTTAAATTTCTTTAATCTTTTTAATTTTAACTTATAAATTTTGATAAAAGATAAATGGAAATTTTGAAGAATTATTCTTGTATGTAAAATTGTGCAATAAAATTTTTTCCATTTAATATTAGTTGGAACTTTGAATATGATTCGATGTTATTAAACATTTGCAAATATTTCGAGAATTTTCAACTGCTACGATTTGTTATCTTTTCTTTGTTTTCATAGTAATAAAATATTACAATTTGCTTTGTTTGATTTATACATGCTATGAAGTTATATCATAACTCGAATAATTAATTAACTTCAATAAATATTTAATTTAAAAACGAAATTGGACAAATAAGTGAATGGTTCAATAAATTGTTTTTCTCGGATATTTAGGAATAAAATTTAAAAAAAATATAATTCATTGCTTTTCAGCAAATTGAATAAAATTTTTTAATGATTGATTGAGTAATTTACCATTAAACAATTATATTCATAAATCGTTTAATATATGCGATAGTAATGTAATACATCAACAATAATTGTATAATATCTATTTTCATTTCTATTAATAATACCTTAAAAATTATTTGCTTTTTATTTTTAAGTCTTTTATAAAAATTATTTAAAAAACTGGTGGTAATTTTTTTCTTCAAAGTAAAAATTAATATATTGTAAATCTTTAAAAATTATTGCATGATAGCATTTTTTGAATTAAAATTTTTTCGTTTCGTTGTTTTTTGTTTTTATTATTTTATGTTACTAAAGTTTCGCTGTTTTTTCTACATGCAAATCTTCCGATATTTTTCCTAAAATTTGTTTTCCTTAACTTTAAATTATTTAATTCTATGATTATCTTCTCTTCTAAATTTAAACTTTAATTGAAAACATTAAGATGAAATTTAATAGAACTGAAATTTCTGAATTACTTTTTTCACGGTGTTAATATTTTTTCTTTTTTCATGAAAATATCTCAAAAATATTTTTTTATTGAAATTTTAAATTTTGAGTAAAACTGTTTACTATTATTCGTTATGATTTCATCAGTAATTTGATATTGCATTTAGCATTGCAATTAGGTGAAAAATTATATGAAAAAATAAATTTGCTAACTTTTCCACTAATTTAAACATTTGAAATTTTTTCTGTTTTACTTCGTTTATTCAAGTATTTAATATAATTCTAATATTTCTTATCAAAAAAAAAAAAAAAAAAAAAAAAATTTCAAGAAATAGCAATGGTGGATGAAAAAGTGAATAAATTTTTTACTTTTAATTCATAAATCTTTAAAAAATTAAGAATTTCAAGAATGTGAAGAAGAGAAATGAATAAATGCTACGAAAAAGTTTTAAAAAAACACTTAAATAAAACAAAGAAAAAGTTAAATTATTTTCAAATTTGTAAATGCAAATTTACTTAGCCATCAAAAACAGCTAAGTGTAATTAATTTCATAAATTCCACTAAATATATTGACTACTTTTATTTAAAAAAAAGTTATTTTCCCTTCAATTAGCATGAGTTAGAATTAAAATATTTCATTTCTTATTACAATTAATATTTACTTCTTTGAAAATAAGTATTTAATTTTTGTATTGAATTATTGTTGGATAAAATTCAAATTTTAACATTTTTCCTTCTTTTCCTTTTTTTTTTTTTTGAAAAAAGTCAAATTTGTTGTAAGCTGTAATCACTGATTATTGATATTAAAATTATAAAAAAATTAATACGGCAATTAATTAATTGTTAAATAATTGATCGTATGAAACGGATAACTGATAGTAATTTGCTAATTAATTAATAAAAGTTGATAAAATGATTTGTAATCAAAACATTAATAATAAAACTAAAATGTTAATTGTTATTATAAAACGAAATGAACTGCACTTAGTTCAATGCATAATGAAATGAAATTTTTCTTACTTATAATTTTCAATAAATCCTTGCATAACTCAATTTGAAATCAAATATAATTGAAATAAATATTCTTGGCTAATCGATGTGTTTCATTAATAATTTGGACTAAAAAAAAAAAATTTTTTTTTTTAAAAAAAGTAATATAAACATTTTTCAAAATAATTAGTATCAATTCAAATTTTTTCGATAATAATCAAAAAGGAAGAAAAAGATAATCGATTATCGATTAATTGCAGCCTTAATAAAATAATTATGTAAATAAGAAATGGAGCAAAAATATACTCAGCATTTTTGAATGATTTTATCCTTTGAAGAATAATCCTTATAAATTGAAAAATAAATTAATGAAGAAAGGTCAAAAGTTCAATGTATTCGTTTTTTTTTTTTTGTTACAAATAAATTTACTCGTTGAAAATGATACTATTATTACCTAAAAGTATTCAAACATAAAAATGAAAAGTACCAAATAAATTAACTATGTAATTAGCTCAGTTAATTAAATTTGAATTTGTATGACAATGGTACTATTTCATTGATTAATTAGCAGTAAATGTGAGCTTAAATTGTCGCCCACTTCGTCATCAAAAATTTCCATAGCAACATATTTATATGTGTATATATAAAGCAATCAATAATATAAATTAAGAAATTAAAAAAAAAAAAATTGGAATTATTCAAAATGATTTCAGCTAAAAGAATAAAGTTTGTACAGCTTTTTTCTTTAATTCTTTAAAAAAAAAAATCATAATTTTTAATATTTTATTGTTTTGATTGCTACTGTTGGAAGCACTTTACTCTGATAAATTTGTTTCATAAAATTTAAATTTCCCACTTATTTATCTTTCTGTAATATGAAAGTTCAAAAAATTTTCCTTTTATTTTCTCTATTTTCATCGATTCTTATCGATTACTGATAGATTCGTTAAACATTAATTGGCTTTTGACACAACCATTTTTGCATTTCGAATTAATTAAAAGTAATTAAATTGAAGTCAAATTATGAAGTAAAGTTTTGTTTCAAATCTATTCTATATCATTGATTATAGTAAAATTTGCAATCTCAATTTTAAATATTTTGAAGAAATCCCAAAATCTTTGCTTTTATTTAAATTTTAGATCGTAGCTTCTTTTTTTAAAAAAATTTTTCTTCTGTGAAATAAGTTAACAAATTGATAGAATTCATATTTGAAATGAACATTTTGCGTTTCAAATGAAGGGTTTATGAATTTTTGAATCTATTTATTATCACAAAAAAATTGAGTTTATTTATTATCATATTATCATTATTTATTATCAAAAAGAAGCTTATTTTTCGTTTAACAATTAAGAATCACAAATATAAAATAATGAATAATAGAAATTGCGAGTAAATTGATGAATTATGAATAGATCGATAAAATATGAGTAAGTGAAAGCATGCAAGTATGTGTGCAAATGCAGGCATGCAAGTATGCAAGTATGCAAGCATGCAAGCAAAACATGACGCACACTTATTTCTTCTATAATAAATACATTAAAATAAAAAAACAGAAATATTCAATTACTTGTTCAACACAATATTTGCAATTCAAACAGATTAGAGCAAAAACTTTTCGCTTCGATTATAACTGTAAACAAATTCAGTATATTAAAGAAAGTAAATCACAATAAAACTTATAGTGGTAATTCGTTATAGTTATAATAATTATAGTTGTAATTTTTTATAATTGTAACAACTTCAATTGTAATTTGTAAGAATCAATAAATTTCACTTTTTCTTTTATATCTATCTTTTTTAGTTTTCATATTTATATAAACATATACTTTTCTTAATTGCATTTCAAAATGCTTCATGTAATGAAACTTTTTTTCTTCAATAATTATTACTTTGCAAAAATTATTGTTTGAATTTGTAAATTCTTTTTAACAGTAATTGTTCTGAATATTAAAATTTTTTTTTTAGAAAAAAGCAAGCATTTTCTTCATATTTTTAAAAAGTCCTTAAACCATTTGTTTGTCTTTTTTTCAAAAAAAATCGTGAATTTCAAAAAGAAAAACTTTTTTTTTTTAATCAATGATATTTTATCATTGATTAAATAATTCATTGTGTTAGGGACTAATAAGCAGTTTGATGTAGTAAAATTATAGTTTATGATACTTTGGATATGATAAAAGTGACAAGAAAATGCGAAAGCTGAAGAAATTATTATAAAAAAATAAAAAATAAAATTATAGCCTTCAAATTTGGTTTAGATAAAGTTTATTGTCATTAATGAATGAATTTGTTTGGCTTATTTGGCTATTTCTTTAAGATTATTATTATTAAAAAATATTTGAGAAAAAAGAGAGAACAAAGAGAAGAAAATGAAAAATGAAATGAAATCAATCAAAGAGAATGATCATTTGGGAAAAAAAAATTTTGAAATTCAAATAGAGTTGTCTTTCAGAAGGAGAAAAAACGAAAGAAAAAAAGCGGACAACTTATCATAAAAATTATAAGCTGAACAAAAAAAAAAAAAAAAGGGAGAGAGAGAGAGAGAAAAAAAACAACGACAAAAGTATTTTAACAAAGATAATTTGATGTTTGTCATTTACTTAAATAAAATATTTTATTTGGCAGAAAGAATTTATTTTATTTTTAGGAATAAATATCTTTTACAAATGATAGTTATCTGACGGTAATAAAATAAAAGCAATAAAAATAAAAAAAATGGAAAAGTAAGGAGTATTTAAGGCATAACTTTTTAAAATTTTTCATCCTTGTTAAAAGTTCTAATTTAATTTTTTTTTTTTTTTTGAATGTTTTCTTTTAATTTTACACAAAGGTTTTTTTTTTCGTATTTTTTCTTTCTTTTTTTTTTTTACAAAATTTGTTACTATTACTACTTTCAAGCAAAAAGTTTGAGATTTTTGCAAAAAACAAGGATCAGTGCTTCTCATTGGTATTAATTCAAATAATTTCTTAAAGCGACGAAACTTCAACTATTTCAAACGGATCAGAATATTTCAGCTCTTCGAATTTAAAGTTTAATGATTTTTATATCAAATCATCATTATTAGCTTTGAATATTGCGTTGCCTAAAATATAATTTAATAGTAATTTTT